GGTCGCTTCTTCGCTTCTGCGACCCTAGCTGCCCCTCCTTCACTCCGTATCTGCGGAGCCTTGCTCGCACCTGCGGGCTCGCAGACGCAAAAGCTTTTACGTACCTGTGACACAGCCTCAGGCCAAGCCCCAAATCCGCTTCTACGCCTTGCCAACCGCACCTGCAGTTGCGCATCTGTGAGGATAGTTCCGCAGGTGCGATTGTACCAGAAGGCAGAAAATCCCAGCTTTTTCCTTAAGTCCAAATTTGATCTGTGAACCATCCGAAACTCACTCGAGGCCTTCGGGATCTCAAACAAATATACCAACAAGTCTTAGAACATCATACGGACTTAGTCGAGCTTTTAAATCACATCAAACAACGCTAAAAATACAAATTACGCATCGACTCAAGCCTAATAAACTGTAAAACTTCAAACTTCTACATTCGATGTCGAAACCTATCAAATCAAGTCCGATTGATCTCAAATTTTGCACACAGGTCATAATTGACATTATGGACCTATGCCAACTTCTGAAATTAGAATCCGACCCCGATATCAAAAGTCCACTCCCGGTCAAACTTTTCAAAAATTATCCCATTTTTCCACTTTCGCCAATTGACGCTAAAATAACATACGGACCTTCAATTCAACATCCGAATACGCTCCTAAGAACAAAATCACTCGACGGAGCTATTGGAATTGTCGAAATTCCATTCCAAAGTCGTCTTCACACAGTACGAACCACGGTCGATTCCTATGACTTAAACTTTTATTTCATGGACTATGTGTACTATTTGACTCCAAAACTAAAAACAAATCCTTCTTGCAAGTTACATAATCACAAAATGAAGTAGATGGAGTAATAAATAGGGATTCAAGGCTACTACTCTCAAAACAACCGGTCGGATCGTTACAATTATGCATAACTTGGAAAGAATACTCCATGCGTCTAAAACTCCTATTGCTCATATGTGTACCTAAAGTCTTGATTTGAAATGTCTTGTTGTTGAAAATCTATAAGGATGCTTGAAAGTAAAAGAAGTGGGTTGGAGATATAAAGTGTGACCACCGTGCCGATAATGAAAGTTATACTTGTGGCTAATAGTACCAATGAAATGAAATGATATGAGAAAGGTTAAGAAATGAGCCTTGATTCAATTGTTCCAAATTGACATAGAAAATAGATTTGCCTAAAAGCTTATGTGCTTAAGCTGTGCCTAAATGTGGTTGTTTCAATTAATGCTATGCTTTGTATGTATTTCCATCGTGTTTTGAGCTCTTATATTTTCATGAGTTAAAATTGGGTATTGCCCTTTTGGGAAAAAGTATTTCAAGAATAAATGATGTGTTACTCGTTTATGATTTTAACTTGTGCTTCGATTGCCAATTATTTTACTCAATTTTTTGGAAAGAAATTCATTGTGTTTAAAGTCTTCATTACTAAAGAACCTAAAGTTGTGATTTCCGGAATATTCTATATGTTGATATTTATGATGATGATCCATGAAAGTAAAGAAATAAAAGTATGGAATATGAAATACAGCCATTGTGCCAAGAAAGATGAATTATATATATGGCCAAGAGAGCCAATAAAATAATGATGTTGTAAGTGATTGAAAGTACCAATGAGGCTATATACGGTATGAAATGTTATGAAGTAAATGCATTTGTATTGATGTTTCCTTTGTATGCAAATCAAAAAAAAATTGGGAGCATCGTTAGTCGCCGAGGAAGGGTAGGTAACAACCTAAACCCGAAACTACACGTGCCGGTGTAGGAGTGATTGAGGGGTGAATTCCCATATTGATATGATGAAATTATTCCCCTTAATTGGGATGAGATTAATTTGATGATATTATTCCCTTATTTTGGATGAGATAATTGTTAGAATAGGGTGATATCGATCAACACGGCACTGTGGTGAGACGACTTAGCCGGTCGGATCGTGATCGGACGCCATATCGCACACATGATGGTCATTGTACTAGAAATTGTAATTGAAATCATGATTGCGGTTGATGTCTCGGATGAGACGGCCTAGCCGATCGGGTTGTGATCGGACTTCGTGCTAAAAGTACGGTGTTTTTGGTATTGAGAATAGTGGCATATTGGTGCTAATGATTTCCCAACCAAAAATATATAATATTCTTCGTATTTTGAAAATTGTTATGTTTTAACTTGGCATTAGGATATCAGTGATTGTTACTTGTTGCTCCATGGTGTTTCCCCTTCTGGTATTGGCGTTCCAGTCCGTAAGAGGACAGCTAGCTTTACATACTAGTACTATTCCATATGTACTAACGTCCCTTTTTATTTGCATCTTCAATGGATGCAAGTAGTTTAGCAGCGGGTATCTTTGGTCCTCGTTAGGAGGTACTCCCTATTCAGTAGATTTTGGTGAGCCCTACTCTATTCCAGGCCTGATGTCACTTGATGTTGTACTTTGTGTTTTGAGGTATAGTCGTGGCCTTGTTGCCGACACTTCCATTCTTCTTTTCTGTTGTACTTAGAGGCTCCGTAGACAGGTTGTGTGTGGTATTTGATGTTGGGTAATGAACTAGAAGTGCTGGTATGTGGCAAACATATTTTTCATCATATCTATAAACTTATAATATTGTGTAAGTCGTAAATGAATCTCCTTGATTAATGGAAAAGAATAGGAGCACTTGACTCCTCTCATGTATATTTCTGGCGACTGATTCTTATATTGTTAATATGAAAGGTTGGGTAGAAGGCATCTAGCAGGCATGCTTGACCGGGGTATCTCAGTTGAGCGTCGGTCGCGCTCCCCGAGTTCGGGGCGTGACATTGCATGATATAATTACTATCAATATTTTGCCACTTGAGAATTGAAGAGTGTAATGATTTCCCTTTAATTACGTCTACTTGATAACTAATTGAAGAGTTTATCTAACTTCTAATTTCAGATAAACGGTCTAAATTATGTAAGTACATCCAATTATCCCCGAATGCATTATAAGTTGGCCTTCCAAAACGTACCCTTAAAGAAGGTTAAGATGTTACCATATCATATGTGTACTAATCAATAGCGTTTGTCCTGTTATTCAAAATGCTCTAACTTTTACCTTTTCTGTGTACTCACTATGGCAAAAAGAAACACAAATAGCATCAAATCGATAATTCGAATTAAATCGAGAAAAAAATTTGATTATGATTCAGTTTGATTTGATTTGGTGTTGGAGAAAACCCGACCATAATTGATTTGATTTGGTTTTAACTAAAAAAGTCAAATCGAAAACCAAACCAACCCGGCATTACATGTATATAAGTTTTTAATATATTTAATACATAAAAATATTTATTGTAGCGTAGTCTATAAATATTTCTAAAATGTTTTCATAGTTTTATCTTTTAACGTATTATTTCAAACTTGGACTTATAATTTTTTAATGCTCCAATAAATTTTATAGTCCATAAATATTAGTAACTCAAATAAATCCCAAACCAAAATCAAATTAATACTAATGCTAATTGCTAACAAAAGACATTCCATTTAATTGTACTAGAAATGACAATAGTATTGGCTATCTATTTTTTAGTTTTTTCATGGTTTAGATAAAATGTATAACTTATTTTTTAAGTGTTTAATCATGTAAATAATAGTACTAATTAGTCGTACTTTATCAACTTAGTAATTTTAGATTATGTTCATTTTTCATTATGGCTTATTAATAAAATTTATTTTATGCAATTTTATTATCTTTATTTATTGAATATTTTTGTATAATGCCATGACTCATCTCATATTTTATGTTATTTTCTTGAAAAATACCTTATATAATTCTGTCTTACTTGGATTAAAGAAAAAATTGAAGCACAAATTCTATATTTGATGCTACAAAGACTTTATGGAGAAAAAACAAAAAAAATCCGAAAACTCAAAAAATTCGAAAAAAACCGAGATTAAAAAATCAGACTTTTATTGGTTTGATTTGATCTTTAGATTTAATAACCCGACATAATTAATTTGATTTGATAATTGGAAAATCCGAACCAACCCGACTTATGCACACCCCTAGTACTCACTATAAAATTACTTGTTACTTCTTAACATCATAATCGTAATTAATTCAACATGCCTATGATGCGTAATAAAATTATTTATTTGAGAGCGTAGAGAGAACAAATCATGACAGAAGAGACCAGGAAGAACGAAGGGACTTCTCCTGTGCATAAAAGCTCTACTATTGCATTCATGGGCGTGGTGATTTCTTTTTCGGGCGAAGTTAAGCAATAGTCATTTTTAAGCCCGCTATTTAAAATAGTTACTTTTAAGTCCGTTATTTAAAATATATCTAAAGTTTATGATTTATTTAAAGATTAGCCAATTCACCCAAATTTCAGGACTAAGTATCCTAAATTTATAAATTCAGGACTTAGTGTCCTGAATTTTTGAGCTGCTAATTTGAAATTCAGGACTAAGTGACCTGAATTTCTGAACCACTAATTTAAAATTCAGGACATAAGAATCGAACTTCAGGACACAATTTTCGAACTTTAGGACACGATGTTATGAAGTTTGAATTTTGAGGTTTAAACTATAGGACGTTGTGTCCTGAAATTTGAACGAAATTGACTAACATTTAAATACATCGTAAATTTTAAATATATTTTAAACAACATGCTTAAAAGTGGCTACCTGATGTTATTTCCACTTCTTTTCATTTGTTTAAACTTTGGGGCAGAATTATTCAATATTTATGCTTGTCCAAAATAGAAGGTACATGATTGAAATTGATGTCAAGGTCCGTGCAAGTTAATTCGGACATCGTCGTTATTTATAAAAATTGATATTTTAATGTCTTACGGTCAGAGGCGGAGTTAGGATTTGAACCCATTGAGATTATAATCTTTTTAAGTTATTGAGTTCTAAATTAATAACTTGTACTATATATTTATTGAATTTCTCAATGTAAATACAATGTTTGAACAAAAACTATTGGGTTCGATCGAACTGGCTCCCCTCCTGACAGCCCACAGCACTACTGCGACATATTACGGAAGGAAGCTTTTACTTTATAAACAAGAACCTATTGACATGATAGCTTATTTGCCAACCTTTATTCATAATCTAAGGAGAAACCAGATGAGATAGACATAAACATACACATAGACACAGTAGTACAGCATTAATTCAAAGAGAAAACCAGAAAAGGCATTTGATTCTCATTGTTGACAAGTGATTTTTGGAAAGATGATTAGCCAAGTCGAGGCTCTTGGGCAACTTTTCCAGATGCGTCTACAAAAATACGGACCCGTTCTAAACGGTAATCCATAGTCACCATAGAATTAGGTGGAATTATATGTATGTCCAGCTCTGGTTTTTCCTCCTTTATCTTCTTTTCTGCTTCCTCTGCTGTCACACCTACCAACTCTGGCCATGACATTTTCCCAGCTTGTGGTGGTGGGTTACTCCAATCTGATACAAAACTTTCTTCGTTATCACAATTTAAATACTAGTACTACAAAATAATATGTAGTATGTTTGGCCAATTTTTTATTATTTTTTGCCAAAAATGCTTTTTCAGAGTTAAGGTGTTTGATCAAAATTTTAAGAGAAAAAAAGTATTTTTGAGTAAAAGCAAAAAAAAATAGTTTCTTACCAAAAACGCTTTTGAAAAAAATACAATTAGAAATATTTTTTTTAAAATTTGGACCTTTCAAATTAATTAGTTAAACACAAAATAAAAAAGACTTATATTAGAAGTTCCGCCAAACAGAATATGAGGCTATAGATACAAACAAATCTAGGATCTAGAGTAAATCAATTCAAAATGAGTTATATCTGCTTTTTTTATATTTATACATAATTAGAGTAAAAAACAATAAGTTCGACTTAATCTATAAAATTCGCCCTAGATCAGCCTCCGCTAGAGATAACTGATCACCTAGACAGGTACTAATCTTCTCAAGGACTTTATATTGAAATATTAAATAATTCTAAGTTGGACATACACATAATATAAAATTATAACAAGGAGGAGAGCTACAGAAGCTAACCAAGAATGGGTAATGGAGATGATGGTGATTCTATAGGAAGATCGGGGAGCTTCTTTAGTTCCTCTGCCATGATTCTGATAAAAAACTACCTGGGTTGTCTTGTATTTTAAGAGCAAAGAATTAGTATTGATTTTGTCCCAGTCTTTGATATCTTGGTTACAATAATGGGGACTAAATAATAATATCCATATATTGCCGGCCAACAAATTGGACCTACTTATTATATTGAAGGTACGACTGATCTTGCAAATTGTACCTACTAGCCAAGCTGACTCCTGCTCTTTAAGCCTTTCCTTTTCTTTTATACTTATATTGTCTTTATGTCTTTGCTTGATTTGTAACCAAAATGATGAGGGTAAAGTTGTCATCTTATATTAATTTCGATAAAATAATATGCTTAGAGCAAAGCTCTAGTTTGGATAATATCATATGCAATGCTTCATTTTCTAAAACTTCTTCGACGTATTCATAGGACGATCATAGCCCAAATTGGTATAGAATTTTTTCAATTTCGTTCCAAAAAGAATGATACTTTTTGAATTTGGAGTAGTGAATAGGAGGGAACATCTTGAATGTCTAAACTTTGAGGAAACACACAAACTCCTCATCTCAATGTTGTTACAAAGCAAAGGAAATACAACAAAAAACAAAAGTTACCAAATTGCTACTTCTCTATTACCATCTTGTGTAGCACAAGCTCTAAACATGCCAGTAGTATTAAATGGTGTGACAACTTCCCCTGCAGCAGACACAGCAATCAAACCAGTAGTACCTTCTGGTGTAGATTCTTTTATAACATAATCTGTTGCCTCCTTTAGAGTTAGCCCTTTGTATTCCATTAGAGCAGCAACATCTCTTGCTACAGTTGCGCGGATAATAGCTTCGCCTTTGCCTGTACAAGATACTGCACATAGTTTATTTGCATATGTTCCTGCACCAACAAGGGGAGTATCTCCAATTCTACCAACCATCTTGTTGACTAGTCCTCCAGTAGAAGTAGCTGCTGCTAAATTTCCATAACTGTCAACAGCAACACATCCAACTGTTCCTATCTGGCTATCCCCATTTGGAACTGGAGTTACATCAACTACTGGCGCAGGTTGTGTATAATCTACCTGTAAAATTTATAAGCATAAATCTTAATCATCACATCCTGAGGCTGCTAATTACTCGTACATAAAGAGACCAACGTCAAAACAACGAGAGAAAAAGGAAGAATTGCTAGAGGCAAAGCGAGAAGTAATTTTGAGTGATTAGGGAAACACCATCAAATATTCAAAGGCAGTGGCGGAGGTAGAATTTACAGATGTTCCGCTAAGGAGATTCAAAAAAGAAGAAAAAGTTAAAAAAGATTGTAGCTAGTGGGAATTGAACCAATAAACTTTAAATCCCCTTGGCCACTAAAATATACTTTTGGGCTATGTCAAGGGGATTCAAAACATAATATATATATAGGTAAAAAAATAAATTTTGCCTTCGGCGAAGGAGTTTCGGGTAAACCCCTTCCGCCCTCCTAAATCCGCCCCGGTTCAAAGGCAAGAAGAGGAGGAACAAGTACACATGAACTTTGTGGTGTTGCCAAGTTAGCAAGAAATGAATTACTTCGACTTGCATAGGCAGTTATTTGTTCATCTTTACCATGATATGATCCATTAAACAATCTTAATCAATAGAACAACAACAACAGCAACAAACCCATTGAGTTTCCACAAGTGGAGTCTGCGGAGGGTAGTGTCTACGCAGACCTTACCTCCATCTTAGGAGGGCAGAGAGCATGCTTCCGATAGACCATCGACGCTAAAGAAAAGTTGAAAAAAATAGTGGCAACAAATAGTACCAACAAAAAGTTATTAAGAAAACCGAAGAAGCGAAAAATAGCAACCAAACAGTAGGTGGTAAACAAGCACAAATATGCTACATTGCAGCCAAGAGAATAAAATGACTGAGCTGGGATAAAAGTACCTGAACTCTGTTAGCTGCTTTTGCTTGTTTCAATCTCTCAATATTTTGCGGAGTGATAAAATGGTTTGAATCTACAGTTTCAACTCCCTAGATAACAAAATCACCAGAGTTAACCAAGCATACTTAACATGATACAACCAGGTGGTTATACTCTGAGAAGAGTTCAATTACTGGAATTAATATTAGTCAAGTTACTCTTGAGAAAAATGTTTAATCACAAGTTTTAACAAACCTTCTCCCTAGCAAATGCTTCTGCTCCTTCAAATGCAAGATATACATGTGGAGTTTTCTCCATTACTAGCCTAGCTAGAGATACAGCATTAACAACTGTAGTGAGGCCAGAAACAGCTCCACATTTCTTTGTACTTCCATCCATGATACAAGCTTCCATTTCTACCGTGCCATTGCTGGTTAAAACCGAACCTCTACCAGCATTGAAGTGTGGGTCATTTTCCAGTTCACGCACCTGTTTGATTCAAGTTCAATTCTCTTTTATCACTATTGTTTACCAAGAGTATACAAAAACCTGAAGTTTCCGAGGGCCTTAGACCGAGTTCCATAATTACAAGTTTCTCAAGAGTTTAACTTTTATATATTGAGATAAAAGATGTCACATAAATGATAATCATAGGTAATTATCCATAAATACACTCGTGCAACATAACGATGACAACCTGATGTGGATCCAGTATTTTAAATTTATGGGTTCCGGACTATAATTATTTTTTACTTACTGGTTCTGGATAGAAAATATATACATAATATGTGAATTTTCTTAATACAAATACATAATTTGACCAAAGCTATTGAGTTCTAATAATTTGACCAAAGCTGTTCTACCGACTATAGCTCCGCTTCTAATGACAGCTATCTTTGTAGCAGCTACTGGTTTTAAATATAATACATGTATTTATACAACAAGCCTTCTTAGCTCAGTGGTAGAGCGCGTGGCTTTTAACCACGTGGTCGTGGGTTCGATCCCCACAGACGGCGAATTATTTTACTAATCAAAGAAAAAAGCATTACCCAAACCATATTTTTTTAGTGCACGTCTTGCTATTTTGACATGACATAAGCTGATAAGTATGTCCTTTTAAGGTTTGAGGTAATAATCACAAACGACCAAGGAGCAATCTTGGCCATCTTTCGTTTAAGCCTTTTTGAAAGTTTAAACAGACTCAATTAGAAATTGTTTCGAAACGATTTCCTTGAATAACTCAAATTGAAAAGCACCCAAAGCTTACCCTTTACTCATTTCGTACAGATCTATGATGTCAGTTTCACTACATATATACTACATCAGTGGAATTCTAACCCATCATTAGTCTGTTCTAACACAATAACAACAAAAACAAAGTAGATCACACGCTACAAAGAATAAGATAATAAACAGATACATGATATAAATACCACAAGTTCAACAACATCCAAAGGTGATTTGTGAGAATTGAGAGCATCAATGCCGATCTGTAAACAACGGTGGAGGCAGGCTTCTCTGGGTTGACGGAGCTCCGGCGGAAGATCACGGGGAATATCACCAGCGCCACCGTGCAATGCAATAGCCCAACCCATACTCACCGGCCAGCCACCACCAATAATAAAGCACGTTAAAGCAACTTAGAAATGAGAACATTATTAATTAAGACATGGTTTTAGCTCAATATATATATATATATATATATATATATACAGATGACTGGTTGACTACCCCCGGTTTTAGAACGGTCACGAGAATGAATCGGTATGTTCACGTTTTCGATCGCCTCCTTTCGAGATTTACATAATTGTCTTTACTTTAAAAGGTAAGGTTCTTTTTCAAAATAATACTTATTTCTAGTGTAATATACAGTTGTACGCTTTCTTTCCTCTAGTTCTTTTCCCAGAAGCGGATAACATACTATATTACATCTGAATAAAATTTTCATTTTTATAATAATTAAACTAATGAATTCTCCCCATATATATCTTCTAATACTTTCGGTAATATTCAACTTTCAAAGTTATAGTGAGATCAACAGGTAAAAATGAAAAATGGTTTAACCTATTCCCTCTTTGTCTCAATTTATTTCTCATACTTTCCTTTTTAATCTGTCTAAGAAAGAATGTCATACTTCCTCATTTAAAAATAATTTAATTTTAAAAATCATACTTTACCCTTAATAAAATAATTTACAGCTATACAAATATTTATAACTTATTTTCACCAAAAATTTCAAAAATCTTCATTTCTTTATTAAATTTCGTGCCAAATCAAATACCACCACAATTAGAACGGAGGGAGTATAAGAAATACTAGAAAATGTTTCAATACAAAAATTTTCACACAAAAAACGACTTAGTCTCAAACAAGTTGGGTCGTCTACCTGAATCCTCACTATCATGTTTCTTCAATTAAAATTCGTTAGGCTTCAGTTTAAATGCATTTTTACTTATGAAACTTTCAATCATTAGCTAAATAACCATACTTTAATAAAACAGGTTATCTTGGGAAGAAGGGAAGCAGCCGTAGCAAGAGCTAAAATAATCTATAAGGGGAATTAAAAAATCCCGAGAAGCCCTAATTGGAATTTAATAGGCATCTTATACGTATATCGTATAACAAATTTTGCCCTCTCTAATGTTGTATGATTCTTTCCATTTTAGTTTAATTGGTGTAAGCTAAATCTTAATAATCTACCAATTTTTATCTTAGCATGCAATCTCAACTTCTTTTAAATTTTACGACAAAATTGTACAAACTGATATGAATAATAATAATGTCACTAATTATTCGACAAAATAAATGGCTATCATATTATATAGTAGTGGCCATTACACATCAAGCTCTTTTCGGGAGTCAAAATATGAACATTAATTAAAATTGTTTCCAACTTCCGAATTTTATATAGACTTTTACAGCTCCTCATCCCTACTCCCTAGGCTATTGTTTTGAATCTTTTCATTTCCCAGAAGTCTCAATGTATTACAAAATGCTGGAAAATTGACACATTTGTGGTTGGCAAACTTTTGTGAAATTAAAGTGACTTATTTTTTCAAAAGAAAAAAGATAAAAATATTTATTTTAAAGAGTTATTGTGTTTGGTCAAATTTTCGAGAAAAATTCAGTGATTTTGCATGTTAGCAAAGGCTTCTTTTTCCCGCTGATGGTAGGAAGTAGAACTTCTCCTTATAAGTTGAAGTTGAGGCAAACAATTAAAATTTACACGGGAAAAATACTCCAATAAAAAATTTATATTCATCAAACGATTCAGCTTTTATTTAAACCTTCTCTTTTTATTTCATTAATTACATTTTAGTAAACAAAATTTAAAAATAAAATTAATTACTGTCTCTCAAATAAACATTTAAAATCTTTATCAATTTAACTAATGCAGTTTTGAATCTTTACATATTTATCTTTGCAATTTGATACTCAAATACACTTTTTTTTTGGTAATTAATCACTTTTATATTAATCACCGATAAAACTGTACAAAGCCATAGCATCGCTTACACAGCTAGCTATCTCATTACAACTCTATCTCCTATTTAGTATGAAACTCTATACACTCAAACAAAAATATAACTATGTACTAATATCTGAATGCCAGTAGTAGCTCTAATGTTGCATATGTATGCTACCTCACGTGCAATAGTATTCCAGTCTCGAGCCCTTTTCTCAAAGATCCTCAGATTCCTCAAAATCCAAATTGCATGTGATATTTTTGCATATATGTCATGACCTAATTTCCCCTCCGTTTGGGTATCGTGCTGGCACCTATTCTTAGAGATTAGGTAAGCCTAACATTAATTGAAACAACAATATTATTTAAATAATATATGCCAATTTGAAATAGAATTCTCTTAAAATTTACAATTCCCCAAATCGGTAGTACAAGTCATAAGCTCTACAGAGTATTTGCTAGAAAACTTCTAAATACAACTATCCAGAAATAAGAATAAACATTGCAAAACGAAAACTTGAAGGTGACTCCGAAGCCTGCGAACGCAGCAGCAGGTTTACCTTGAGTCTCCACAGCAACGACCCGCACAGCTACTAACGAACAAATATCTGGATCTGCACAAAAATGTGCAGAAGTGTTTAATGAGCACACCATAGCGGTGCCCAGTAAGTATCACGACTAACCTCGGTGGAGTAGTGACAAGGAACAATCAAGACATCCACTGGTCTAATAAACTGAACAAGTATAAGTATATGAACAACAGAAATATGACATCTACATAAAGACTATGTAATATGGCTCACAATACAGAAATGGCAATAAGAAAGAAAATAACAAGTATCAATGGAATACCATAAAAATGACACAGAAAAGTGAATGGAACACAACCTAAATCCGGAATCACAAATACAGCAGGGACAAGTAATAACTCAACAACTACAACCGCTTTTACATCAGGTTTTAGTCAACAAACTCCACGAGGTACCGAACCTCGGACAAATCACAACTCACGAGTCTCAATACCTGAACCCTAACACTTGGCATCCTGTGCCCTCATAACACCTCATAACCGCACTGACGACTCACGTGCTAATAGAGTCATTCTCACATAGAAGGCAAGTAAACAAGGATGAGCATCTATACTCAACAATATCAAGAACACATTTTATCCGATAAGAGTGCTTAACTACGTGTATGCTTGTGCAAGTGTCCTAACATAGTCCATACCAGCAAATAAGCATAAGAAAAAATAAAAGAACGGACAACACGTAGAATATTTTCTCACATCTTTCACAAGATAAAGCTCATACAGTTAAGTGTAGCACTACACAATATCCACAACAAGAATACCCCCAGGCCATCGCAAATCATCACAAATCAATCCCTGATACAACCCACCTTGTCTCACTACGTGCGCAATAATAAAGTAAGTGCCCGCCTTGTCTCGCCACACATGCATAACAATGTTCCCACCTTGTCTCGCCACACATGCATAACAATGTTCCCACCTTGTCTCGCCACATGCGCAACCCACACATATTTATATCTCGCCTTGTCATGACACATGTGCAAATATCAATAGGAACAATGGCACGACAGAAACCTCATACAACCCCATAACAACAACTGCACGGCAGAAACCTCGTGTGTCACAATAACCACAACCGCACGACAGAAATCTCGTGCATCACAATAACAATAACCGCACGGCAGAAACCTCGTGCATCACCACAATAAGTACAACAACAACAACAACAACAATAACAATAATACAAGGATACGACAAATACGTCAACTCAGAAATTCCATAATTCAAGGAAACAAAGGAACTAATTCACAAGGAGTAGCCACAATAGAGAACGTTAGTCATAATAAGAACAGCTCAACAAGAAAGGAAATATCATGTAACAACGGTCCACAATGTACAGTTCGACAACGAGGGAGCTAACACAAGACGAATAATTTCAAATAAGGACAAGTCAACTAAAATATAGGATATCTAACTTGTTTTAAGGTTGGGCAATTAAGTGAGAGATACAACAACTCCAATTAAGGATAAGCAGTATAAGGATAATCATTTGCCTCAATTAAGGATGAACAATTACAGAAAAGATAATTATAATTTCAAATAAAGATAAGCAGTTAGGGAAAAGACAACACGGCAATAGAAGAGTTAACAACTTCAGTTGAGGCACATATGAATCAAATGAACAACGAGAGTGGATCATGAAGCAATAAATTCCAATTAAAGCAGGTAGAAGCAAAACTAGAAATTTAGAAATGTAATCATAACGAAAACAACTGCATATTCAGTGAATACAAGGACCTAAGAGTCCCTAAAAGGCCAATTTTCTACAAAAAGTCCGGGTACGTACTCGTCACCTCGCGTACACGAACTACAATTATAATAGAAGACTCAAATCCTAAGGGGTAGTTCCCCCACACGATGTTAGGCAAGATACTTACCTCAAAGATGACAGACCGAATACTCTAAAAAGAACTTCTCGGGTGAAATGACCTCCGAGCGGCTCAAATCCAATCAAAATAACTTCAAAGCACAAATAAAACTCATAATGGACTATTCTGGATCATAAAGCCTCAATCTTTATCAAAATTTAAAAATCAGTCCAAAAGTCGACCCCCGAGCCCGCACCTCGGAACCCGATAAATTTTGTCACGCCTCCTTTTTCCCGAAGGGGGGAGCGGGATAAGGGAGTTTTTCCAATTAAAGTGACATTAATCAAAATGGGATTATTTATTTATTCAGAGTCGCCACTTGGAATAATTTATGGTGTCCCAATTCACCGGTTTATTTTAAATCCCAAATCGAGGAAACTTTAACTCTGTTTTAAAGTCCGCAAAACCAGAAGACCGGGTAAGGAATTCTGTTAACCAGGGAGAAGGTGTGAGGCACTCCCGAGTTTCGTGGTTTTAGCACGGTCGCTCATCTATTAATAATTGGCCTAATTATCTGATTTATTGCATGTTTGAAACCTATTGTGCATTTTTTACTTATGAACCGCATTTAATATTTATGGAATTATTTCTGGAACAAGTCACGATGTCATAAACTTGTCGTTTAGGTACACATTACAAACCGCACCACATGAAATGCACCCGCAGTTTACGACATATTTATTTTTATTACTATGAGAAGTTACGTTCGGGTCACATGAAATGCACACCCGAATTTGAATTTATGGATCGTGATCATGACACAGGAACCGTACCCATGATCACGATGATTTATTAT